AGTATTATGAGAACTACCTTGAAGCTTTCATCAGATATTGACTTTCCAACAGAATCAAACAACTGTTGGGCAATCCTATCAAGACAACTAGAATCTTGGGCTTGTTGTAGCCAGAATACCCCAGCACCCTTATGACCATGCTTCCAGTGGTATACTCCAGCAATCTACATATTTCTTATGCAGATCAGTTCTTGTTGTGAACAGAAGATTATTAGGATAAAATATAGTCTCAACATCTCCATAGTAATTAGGAAAATATATCTTCAAATATTCCGATTCATTTCAGCATATTTTTACTTCCTTCTACAAAGGTTTTGATTACTACTCTTGAAGTATAATGTCTTTATTTTATTATTAATATTTATGTTAGGGTTTTATTAGGGCTTCCAGCCCTTTTCTCTTTCAGAACTACTATCTTCTATACATACAGTAGTAAGTTGTATCAGACTTTCTTAATCAAAACATAAGACTTTTCATTTTCTCTCAACTTCAAGTTGGTATCAAGAGCCAGACCCTTGTGTCTTCTTTGTCTATCGTCAGCGGCATCGTCTCTCTGTCATTTCCGCCGTTCGTTCCGTTGTCCGCCGTCGTCGCCGTTGCCGCAGCCGCCGCCGCCGCTCAACGTCGCTTTCTCCGGCGCAGTCAAGGGTTAGGTGCGCCTTGAGAAGCGCAACCCAACCCTGGTGGTCCCGTCCTCCGAAGCCTCCTCACCAGACGCCACGTGCAACTTCTTTCCGGCCAGTCCGCCACCGCCCAACGTCGTTTTCTCCGACGAAGTCAAGGGTTAGGTGCGCCTTGAGAAGCGCAACCCAATGGTGGTCTTGTCCTCCGAAGCCTCCGCACCAGAGCTTCTTTCTGGCCAGTCTCGACCGCGTGTTCTGCACACGCTGCCTTCCCAGTGCCGGAGTTACACCTCGTCACTATAGATCGTCTCGCCGGGGCTTCTTGAGTGTGTTTTGGTTCCTGTTTCTCTGTTTCGTTGGCTTGGGCTCATACCTAGGGTTTTCTCCCTCACGTTTTTGAAACCTTAAGTCCCATTTCTTCTCACAGTTTTAAAATGGCTTCTTCTACTGGAAGTAATTCGTCTTTATCTGCTACCCCTATCATTACATCTACAAAACTGAATTGGAAAAATTATTTATCATGGTCCTCTGCTGTGGAATTGTGGTTTCTTGGTCAAGGACACCATAATCACCTTGAACAAGATATTTCTATGGTCCCAGATGAAGAAAAATCCAAGTGGCAAAAATTAGACTTTCAATTATGTGTTGTTTTGTGGCAATCGGTTGAGCAAGAGGTTCTAGATATCTTGAGACCTTATAAGACATGCTCCTCTCTTTAGAAAAGGGCCCAAGATATTTTTGCTAATGATGTACAACGTCTTTTCGATGCAACCCAAAGAGTCTCAAACAAGTCAACCATGATATGGTTTCCCATGTAGCAAAAGCTCGGGCTGCGGTAGAAGAGTTAAAGAACTTCTTTGTAGCTGATTCATTAGAAAATCTCAACAAAAAGCTTGACAAGTTTTACATGGTCCTAATTTTGAAAAGTTTACACTCTGATTTTGATCATTTACGTGATCAAGTTTTAGCTGGTGATCAAATCCCGTCGATGGATGGCTTAGTTACTCGACTCCTTCGGGTACCTTCATTAGTAAAAGATGAGGATTTAAGTGATGCTATTGAAACATCAGCAAGGGTGACACCGCGAGGAAGAGGAGGAGGTAGGAGCAATCGAGGAGGACATGGTGGTCGAAGTGGACGTCCTCAATGCTCATATTGTAAGGGAATGGGTCATACCCAAGATAAATGTTATTCCTTGCATGGCTTTCCAGACAAAGCTTCTCATGTGTCTAAATCTGATAATTCAGAATCTAGAAAAATCTTCTAATCTTGGCCAATCCTCCTCAATGCCAAATGTGTCAACTGTCTGCATCTCTCAATCTGTGAAAGGTCATAGTCCATGGATTCTTGACTCAGGTGCCTCAGATCATATCTTTGGTAACATCCCTTCATTATCTTCCATGTCCTCTTCGAAAACTCCTCATTTCATCACTGTTGCCAATGGATCCAAAGCTGCATCTCAGGGGATTGGCAAAGTTTCCCTATCTCCTTCACTAAAATTGAATTCTGTTTTGTATATTCCTCATTGTCCTTACAATTTAATCTCTTTGAGTCGATTGACTCGTTCCTTAAATTGTTATGTAACCTTTTCTGCTAATTCCTTTATTATACAGGAACATGGTACAGGTCGTCTGATTGGAGAAGGACATGAGTCACAAGGACTTTATTTCTTAAAACCTAACTCCTCAGTTTCCTGTTTTGCAACTTCATCCCCAAAACTTTTGCATGATCGATTGGGCCACCCAAGCTTATCTAAGTTGAAGATGATGGTTCCAAGTCTCAAAAACATTCAAGTCTTAGATTGTGAGTCTTGCCAGTTAGGAAAACATGTTAGATCATCCTATCCTAAAAAGTCTAAGACGCGATGTAATTTTGTCTTTTCAACTATTCACTCTGATATTTGGGGACGGTCATGTTACTTCTTTTGGTTTTAATTATTTTGTAACCTTCATTGATGAATTTTCTCGATGTACTTGGGTTTATTTAATGAAAGAGAGATCTAAACTTTTGGCAATATTATATTTGTGTCTTTTTTTAATGAAATTAAGAACCAATTTGGGAAGACAATTAAAATCCTCAGAAGTGATAATGCTAAGGAATACTTTTCTGCAACATTTTCTTCATTCTTATCTTCCTAAGGAATTTTACACCAGTCAACATGTCCTCACACTCCACAACAAAATGGCATTGCAGAGAGAAAGAATAGACATCTCATTGAAACTGCACGCTACCTGATGTTGAATACTAATGTTCCTGTTCATCATTGGGGTGATGCAGTGCTTACTGCCTGTTTTCTGATCAATTGGATGCCTTCTTCCTCTCTTGAGAATAAAGTCCCTCACTTTATCATTTTTCCAAATGACCCTCTTTTCCATGTCTCTCCTCGTATATTTGAGTGTACTTGTTTTATTCATATTGTTTCTCCAGCTCTTGATAAACTCTCTGCAAAAGTTATTAACTGTGTCTTTTTGGGATACTCTCGCCTTCAGAAAGGGTATAAATGTTATTCTCCCTCAACCAAGAGGTATTATATGTCTGCTGATGTCACATTCTTTGAAGATACACCTTTTTTCTTGTCCTCCATGGAGGACCGTTCATTTGTTCAACAAATGTTTCCTCTATCATCATGTGATCCCTTGGTTACTCCTGCTTCTTTACCTCAAACTCAAAATGCAAATGACATTGTTCCTCCACCTCTTCTGACATATCAGCGTCGCACAATCTCAAACTCAGAACACTGAAGATCCTCGAGACTCAGATCCTCCTTCATCAGATTCCCAAACCATGGATCCTTCATCCTTTTCACCCTCTCTTGACTAAGATAATAATTGGCCTATTGCCCTTCGGAAAGGTATTCGCTCTACTCGTAATCCTTATCCTGTTTATAATTTTGAGTTATCATCGTTTGTTTCCTCCATATTTCTCCTTTGTTTCTTCCTTATCTTCCATTAAGGTTCCTAATAATGTTCATGAGGCACTTGTTCATCCTGGATGGCGATAAGCCATGATTGATGAAATACAGGCACTTGAACACAATGGCACTTGGGACCTTGTTCCTCTTCCTCCTAGTAAAAAGCCTGTTGATTGTAGATGGGTCTATGTTATTAAGGTTGGTCCTATTGGAATCGTCTAAAAGCTCGTCTAGTAGCTAAGGGATATACTCAAGTCTATGGCCTCGACTATTGTGATACATTTTCTCCTGTGGCTAAGATCAGTATTGTTCGTATTTTGCTTGCTATGGCTGCCATTTGTCATTGGCCCCTTTACTAGTTGGACATTAAAAATGTCTTTCTTCATGGTGATCTAGAAGAAGAGATATACATGGACCAACCTCCTGGGTTTGTTGCTCAGGGGGAGTCTGGGTTAGTTTGTAAATTACACCGTTCCCTCTATGGCTTGAAGCAATCACCTTGAGCTTGGTTTGGTAAATTTAGTCGGGTTGTGCAGAATTTTGGATTGAAACGATGTGAGGCGGATCATTCAGTATTTTATAGTCACTCTTCTCCTGATAAATGTGTTTATCTTATGCTGTATGTTGATGATATTGTCATTACAGGAAATGACGTCACTAGAATTGCTCAATTAAAGAATCATTTGTTCAACCACTTTCAAACCAAAGATCTGGGTCGGCTAAAATATTTCCTTGGTATTAAAGTGGCACAATCAAAGGAAGGTGTCATCATTTCACAAAGAAAATATGCTCTTGATATTTTGGAGGAAACAGGCCTGACAAATTGCAAGCCCATTGATAGCCCTATGGACTCAAATCAAAAGTTAATGAAAGACCAAGGTGAACTTTTCTCAGACCCAGAGAGATATAGAAGGCTTGTTGGAAAACTCATCTATCTTACCATAACAAGACCTGATCTTTCTTATTAGGTGGGAGTTGAGTCAATTTATGCAAAATCCACATGTTGATCATTGGAATGCAGGGATTCGCATTCTCAGATATGTAAAAGGGAACCCAGGACAGGGATTGTTGTATGAGGACAAGGGAAGCACTCGAGTTGAGGGATATTGTGATGCAGATTGGGCTGATTGTCCAATTGACAGAAGATCTACCACAGGATATTGTGTTTTACTTGGAGGGAACCTTGTATCTTGGAAAACTAAGAAACAAAGTGTTCTTACTCGATGTAGTGTTGAAGCTGAGTATCGATCTATGGCTCTAACTACATGTGAACTTGTTAGGGATTCGAGAAAGAATTCCTAACAAGCTCTCTCTCTCCCAAACACAAACAATCAAGAACTTGTAAAGAAAGAATAGTATGAATGGTATTCACAACAATGAATCAAAAATACACTGTATCGTAGGAGCTTAACCTCCTCCACCTGGTGCTAAGACCGGTCAACACATACAAACTACACAACTGACTAACGGAAACATTAAAGGGTCCTAATATATAGGTCCTTTCCCGCCCCCTCACTTAACTGATTAGCAGTTAAGTGTTCTGTTTCCCTTTCCTCCTCTTATAGACTCTCCACGTCCTAACATAATATGTGAGCCAACAATATAAATTTGTACAGGCACCAGAAATGGAAATGTAGGAATAAACTTACCCTGACTTAGAAGACTTTCTTGACAACCAAAACAAGTATTAGGAAAACTGCGGCTAGAATCATTTTGAGATGGAGAGACCTCATCAAACATCACAATAGGAAATAGATGATGGTATGACCTTGCCAAATGGGGTGAAGAAATAAGGGTCAATCCACAGACTCGACATTCAGTGGGAAGCTCACAGACACGAACTTTGCATCTTGGACAAGTGTATCCCCCTCCAGCCTTAGCCTCTTCATGACATGTGCATATTGCGACAGAACCCTCAGCTGACCGTTGTGGGAAACCCATCTTAATTAAATTAGCAGTAGCATACTCTGCTATTGCTGGAGGTGGTGGTGCATGCTCCAGGATCAACTCTTTAAAGTGGGACTGCATGAGATGTACACAAATATCTGAATGAATACATTCATGAACTATCAAGCATTTGAAAAATGCAAACAAATTCAAAGGTAATCAGAAATATTCAAGTACTTGTTCAAACTAAGGTTGAAATATAGAGGATACTACATCTACAAGGGCTTTTTCCATCAAAAGTAATAAACTAACCTCGTCTAGAGCAACAGAATAAGTCCCGCCAGTTTCCTGGCAGAGATGTTTACATACAAACATCTCAGCAGCAAGACCGATGACTGAGCACCTTATTTTACTCCTTTTGCATTTTTGAATGGTTTCCATGAGATCACCAGGATCACACGTACTGAGAGCCGAATATAAGATAAGAGCTTCTCGATGACCATATGATGGGATTTGATTTAGACATCCAAGAACAAGCTCTAGTGCATTTTGTAAGGAGGCATCACCTGAGCAATCCAGTTTACCCATTAATGCGTTGATGTGGGACTCGGGACTGCCACCAAGTTCTGTTATGCAATTAGCAATCCCATCTTTTATAGTCACCAGACCAACGTGACTAAGTGGATTCTGATCAAAGAATTCCCTGATAAATACCTCAACCTGTTTCCCAATCACAGCCATCCTACTTGGTCGGAAGTCTCTCTCTGATGCTGCCTTCACATGATAACAGAAACCGAATTATATACAATATGAGATTAAAAGGATATACATGTAACTGATATGTTCTACATTTTATTTCCTCTTATTTATGTTTTAGATTTCTTATTATATATTTCTACCAGTAATTGTATTGTTATCACAAATACTACATCAATCACAAGTTGAACAAGATACTTCTTGGCCCATAACCAGTTTCTTAACAGCTTTTTAGGCATACAGCACCACATAGAAACACTAGTGTGAGTGTGATACGCTTATGAACAACATACTTATGCACACATCCTCCATTCGAAATCCAATTTCAAGTAATTAAAGCACCACTCCATGCCACACGACTCAGAAGCATAAGAAGAAGCTATAATTAAATACCTTAGACAGGTCAACGACAATGTACAGGTATCGTATAAGCCCCTTCTGAATTCGTGAAGTAGCCGCAGTGGCAGCAAGGTTACGAAGGCGTCTGCGATACTGAGCATGGTAAATGGCTGTAGTATCAATGGGGCGAAGAAGTCCAGATTCATCCTCCTGCAAAGCCTCCCATGATCTATCTTCTGCGTAAGTTCTCTCCCAGGCTTCAAGGTCTGCACCATCGTCGTCGTCGTCATCCTCTACGTCTCCATTTAGTGGCCTTTCAGCAGCATTATTCATAATTTCTAAACCAAAATAGGCACAGTTAACTAACCAATAACAGCAGCAACCAAAAAAACATCCGCATTCTATACTGAAACATCCGCACATCACAAAATTCGGTGCAACCAAACACGCAGAAATGAATCATTGTCAAAAAAAAAGGGCGTAACTCGATCATTGCGTTAATTTAGTCGCAATCCGCTTAGGAGGAATGAACGAAATTAGAAAAATAAACCGGAAAAAGAAAATTGAAGAGATGCAAAGTGAAAAGCAATTGGAAGGAGATTTAAAGGATATAGAGAGTAGCATTGAAGGTGTTATTATTGAAGCGGGAACGAACGTACGGCATTTACAATCACCGAAAAGGAAATGAATGAATCTAAAGAGTGTAGAAATTACCTGAAATATGGAGCAATGAGTTCAAATTGTGACAAATACCGAAGTGGAAAAAACCCCAAGTATTCAAGATTCCTCTCGCTCTCTGCAACTCTACTCTCAAAATCCTCTCACGCAAGTCACAGTGCAACACGCCCAAGTCCTATTCTTTTCACTTCCCAAACCAACAAATTGGGCCTTTTTGGGCTTCTTGTTACACTTATCAAACAGCCTTCTTTCTGCTTTTACTTTCTTTTAACTAAAAGATGTTTCTAAATATTTTGAAATTTTATTTAAATTCTTCTATTTTAAAAAAATGCATAACATTTCGTCTCGTTATTAATTGTTATCTAAGTTTTTTAGAAAACAAAAATATACATTTCAAACAAAATTAATCTATTTTCCTTACAAGAAAAAGGCCAAACTTCATAATTTTAAAGAAAAAATATATTTTTTTTCATTTTACTGATCACAATTGAATTAAAATATTAATATTTTAATAAATATAAATTATTAATATTTTAATAACTATAAATTATTAATATTTTAATTACTATAAATTATAACCCTCATATCATAAGAAAAGAATTTAACCCGTAGACCAGACCAAACTCTTTTCTTGTTTTTTTTTTATGTTTATAATTTCTAAATATTGGGAAAAGGGGAAATTTTATGAAACCGAATAATTCAACCCAAAATGGCACACACTAACAAGTAAAAAAAAAGATTTATTTAAATTTCACAGTCAACTTCTCGTGAAAACAAAATTTAATGTTATTTATTTCATGGCTTACATGATNTTTTGGGATACTCTCGCCTTCAGAAAGGGTATAAATGTTATTCTCCCTCAACCAAGAGGTATTATATGTCTGCTGATGTCACATTCTTTGAAGATACACCTTTTTTCTTGTCCTCCATGGAGGACCGTTCATTTGTTCAACAAATGTTTCCTCTATCATCATGTGATCCCTTGGTTACTCCTGCTTCTTTACCTCAAACTCAAAATGCAAATGACATTGTTCCTCCACCTCTTCTGACATATCAGCGTCGCACAATCTCAAACTCAGAACACTGAAGATCCTCGAGACTCAGATCCTCCTTCATCAGATTCCCAAACCATGGATCCTTCATCCTATTCACCCTCTCTTGACTAAGAAAATAATTGGCCTATTGCCCTTCGGAAAGGTATTCGCTCTACTCGTAATCCTTATCCTGTTTATAATTTTGAGTTATCATCGTTTGTTTCCTCCATATTTCTCCTTTGTTTCTTCCTTATCTTCCATTAAGGTTCCTAATAATGTTCATGAGGCACTTGTTCATCCTGGATGGCGATAAGCCATGATTGATGAAATACAGGCACTTGAACACAATGGCACTTGGGACCTTGTTCCTCTTCCTCCTAGTAAAAAGCCTGTTGATTGTAGATGGGTCTATGTTATTAAGGTTGGTCCTATTGGAATCGTCTAAAAGCTCGTCTAGTAGCTAAGGGATATACTCAAGTCTATGGCCTCGACTATTGTGATACATTTTCTCCTGTGGCTAAGATCAGTATTGTTCGTATTTTGCTTGCTATGGCTGCCATTTGTCATTGGCCCCTTTACTAGTTGGACATTAAAAATGTCTTTCTTCATGGTGATCTAGAAGAAGAGATATACATGGACCAACCTCCTGGGTTTGTTGCTCAGGGGGAGTCTGGGTTAGTTTGTAAATTACACCGTTCCCTCTATGGCTTGAAGCAATCACCTTGAGCTTGGTTTGGTAAATTTAGTCGGGTTGTGCAGAATTTTGGATTGAAACGATGTGAGGCGGATCATTCAGTATTTTATAGTCACTCTTCTCCAGATAAATGTGTTTATCTTATGATATATGTTGATGATATTGTCATTACAGGAAATGACGTCACTAGAATTGCTCAATTAAAGAATCATTTGTTCAACCACTTTCAAACCAAAGATCTGGGTCGGCTAAAATATTTCCTTGGTATTAAAGTGGCACAATCAAAGGAAGGTGTCATCATTTCACAAAGAAAATATGCTCTTGATATTTTGGAGGAAACAGGCCTGACAAATTGCAAGCCCATTGATAGCCCTATGGACTCAAATCAAAAGTTAATGAAAGACCAAGGTGAACTTTTCTCAGACCCAGAGAGATATAGAAGGCTTGTTGGAAAACTCATCTATCTTACCATAACAAGACCTGATCTTTCTTATTAGGTGGGAGTTGAGTCAATTTATGCAAAATCCACATGTTGATCATTGGAATGCAGGGATTCGCATTCTCAGATATGTAAAAGGGAACCCAGGACAGGGATTGTTGTATGAGGACAAGGGAAGCACTCGAGTTGAGGGATATTGTGATGCAGATTGGGCTGATTGTCCAATTGACAGAAGATCTACCACAGGATATTGTGTTTTACTTGGAGGGAACCTTGTATCTTGGAAAACTAAGAAACAAAGTGTTCTTACTCGATGTAGTGTTGAAGCTGAGTATCGATCTATGGCTCTAACTACATGTGAACTTGTTAGGGATTCGAGAAAGAATTCCTAACAAGCTCTCTCTCTCCCAAACACAAACAATCAAGAACTTGTAAAGAAAGAATAGTATGAATGGTATTCACAACAATGAATCAAAAATACACTGTATCGTAGGAGCTTAACCTCCTCCACCTGGTGCTAAGACCGGTCAACACATACAAACTACACAACTGACTAACGGAAACATTAAAGGGTCCTAATATATAGGTCCTTTCCCGCCCCCTCACTTAACTGATTAGCAGTTAAGTGTTCTGTTTCCCTTTCCTCCTCTTATAGACTCTCCACGTCCTAACATAATATGTGAGCCAACAATATAAATTTGTACAGGCACCAGAAATGGAAATGTAGGAATAAACTTACCCTGACTTAGAAGACTTTCTTGACAACCAAAACAAGTATTAGGAAAACTGCGGCTAGAATCATTTTGAGATGGAGAGACCTCATCAAACATCACAATAGGAAATAGATGATGGTATGACCTTGCCAAATGGGGTGAAGAAATAAGGGTCAATCCACAGACTCGACATTCAGTGGGAAGCTCACAGACACGAACTTTGCATCTTGGACAAGTGTATCCCCCTCCAGCCTTAGCCTCTTCATGACATGTGCATATTGCGACAGAACCCTCAGCTGACCGTTGTGGGAAACCCATCTTAATTAAATTAGCAGTAGCATACTCTGCTATTGCTGGAGGTGGTGGTGCATGCTCCAGGATCAACTCTTTAAAGTGGGACTGCATGAGATGTACACAAATATCTGAATGAATACATTCATGAACTATCAAGCATTTGAAAAATGCAAACAAATTCAAAGGTAATCAGAAATATTCAAGTACTTGTTCAAACTAAGGTTGAAATATAGAGGATACTACATCTACAAGGGCTTTTTCCATCAAAAGTAATAAACTAACCTCGTCTAGAGCAACAGAATAAGTCCCGCCAGTTTCCTGGCAGAGATGTTTACATACAAACATCTCAGCAGCAAGACCGATGACTGAGCACCTTATTTTACTCCTTTTGCATTTTTGAATGGTTTCCATGAGATCACCAGGATCACACGTACTGAGAGCCGAATATAAGATAAGAGCTTCTCGATGACCATATGATGGGATTTGATTTAGACATCCAAGAACAAGCTCTAGTGCATTTTGTAAGGAGGCATCACCTGAGCAATCCAGTTTACCCATTAATGCGTTGATGTGGGACTCGGGACTGCCACCAAGTTCTGTTATGCAATTAGCAATCCCATCTTTTATAGTCACCAGACCAACGTGACTAAGTGGATTCTGATCAAAGAATTCCCTGATAAATACCTCAACCTGTTTCCCAATCACAGCCATCCTACTTGGTCGGAAGTCTCTCTCTGATGCTGCCTTCACATGATAACAGAAACCGAATTATATACAATATGAGATTAAAAGGATATACATGTAACTGATATGTTCTACATTTTATTTCCTCTTATTTATGTTTTAGATTTCTTATTATATATTTCTACCAGTAATTGTATTGTTATCACAAATACTACATCAATCACAAGTTGAACAAGATACTTCTTGGCCCATAACCAGTTTCTTAACAGCTTTTTAGGCATACAGCACCACATAGAAACACTAGTGTGAGTGTGATACGCTTATGAACAACATACTTATGCACACATCCTCCATTCGAAATCCAATTTCAAGTAATTAAAGCACCACTCCATGCCACACGACTCAGAAGCATAAGAAGAAGCTATAATTAAATACCTTAGACAGGTCAACGACAATGTACAGGTATCGTATAAGCCCCTTCTGAATTCGTGAAGTAGCCGCAGTGGCAGCAAGGTTACGAAGGCGTCTGCGATACTGAGCATGGTAAATGGCTGTAGTATCAATGGGGCGAAGAAGTCCAGATTCATCCTCCTGCAAAGCCTCCCATGATCTATCTTCTGCGTAAGTTCTCTCCCAGGCTTCAAGGTCTGCACCATCGTCGTCGTCGTCATCCTCTACGTCTCCATTTAGTGGCCTTTCAGCAGCATTATTCATAATTTCTAAACCAAAATAGGCACAGTTAACTAACCAATAACAGCAGCAACCAAAAAAACATCCGCATTCTATACTGAAACATCCGCACATCACAAAATTCGGTGCAACCAAACACGCAGAAATGAATCATTGTCAAAAAAAAAGGGCGTAACTCGATCATTGCGTTAATTTAGTCGCAATCCGCTTAGGAGGAATGAACGAAATTAGAAAAATAAACCGGAAAAAGAAAATTGAAGAGATGCAAAGTGAAAAGCAATTGGAAGGAGATTTAAAGGATATAGAGAGTAGCATTGAAGGTGTTATTATTGAAGCGGGAACGAACGTACGGCATTTACAATCACCGAAAAGGAAATGAATGAATCTAAAGAGTGTAGAAATTACCTGAAATATGGAGCAATGAGTTCAAATTGTGACAAATACCGAAGTGGAAAAAACCCCAAGTATTCAAGATTCCTCTCGCTCTCTGCAACTCTACTCTCAAAATCCTCTCACGCAAGTCACAGTGCAACACGCCCAAGTCCTATTCTTTTCACTTCCCAAACCAACAAATTGGGCCTTTTTGGGCTTCTTGTTACACTTA